CCGAGGCCGAGACCCCTGCTCCTGGCCAGGGGCAGCGGAGGAAGCCGAGGCCGGGGTTGCGTCTTCACACCCATTATAAGCTGAAGACCCTCTCCCCAGTCCGGCTCCTCCATCCCGCCTGGTGTGACCACTGAGTCAAGTTTAAATTCCCGCCGAGACCCAGCGGCAGCCACAGTGCAGTCACGTCCGTCCATCCTTCTTCTGTGTGGTCCCCGGTCACCGGGTCCAAGACTGTCTGAAGAACAGGCTGCCCTGCAGGGTCAGCCTCCCGCCCTCCCGGCTCCTTTTCTCTTCCTAACACCCCACGAAACCGGACCTCCTGGACCCCAGGCACCTGCCTCACCATCACCCAGAATGGAGGAGTCCCCGTCCTGGCTGTTCCCAGGCTGCACACGCCCAGAGGAATGAATGGGCAGAGGAGCTGGAGCCAAAGAATCCAGCTGTCACCAGCAATGCTGACACGCAGGCGGGGGACGCACCCCGGAAACTCTGGATCTGGGTGAACTGCAGGGGGCGGATGCAGACCACACGGTACCCACGGTGCTCAGGGGAGAAAAGCTTCCGGAGAGAGAAAGGGCCACAGGGAGGTGTAGGTGGGGGCCGGGGCTCGCACACACACTTCTGCCTCTGGCCCCTGACGTCCGGTTGTGGGCAGGTCAGGCAGGTCTGTTCTCCGTCCCGTCAGGCCCCTCCGGGAGGGTCTCCCTCCCTCCTGTCCCACCTGGTCACTCACTGGGGCTGCCGAGCAGTGTCTTGGCGTGGAAGGACTGACACCCGGGACACTTGAGCCAGGGCCTGGGGGCGGCACAGGGTCAGGAGCGCGTGCAGGATCTGCTGGAGGACCTGTGCCCACACTCGGTCTCCAGGCTGCCTTCCCCTCCTCCACCATCTCTGGCACACCTTCCAGAGCCTTCCATGGCGGTGGGGCTCCGTGGTCTTCCAGGCACAGGGCAGACAGAGCCCACCTCACGCTTCTTCCTAAGGGATCGGAAGTCCCAGCCCCTCTCTCTGGCCTCTGGGAGGCTCCTGGGGCCGAGCTCCCTGAGCCACAGGATCTGTCCTAGCTGTGGCGGCAGGATGCCCTCCGCAGCCTTTCCCTGCTTGTAGGAGGGAGCCTCCTTCTGGGGGAGTTTGGGGGGTGGGGGGGAGGGCACTCCACGTCTGCCTGACTAGAGACCTGCAGCTTGGCCCCAGCCGCCGCCAAAGCCGTGGCACACAGTGCCCGTCCCCCGTCCTCCGGGAGGTCCCTGGCAGGCAGCCCCACCTCCTGAAGGGCTTGTCTTTTTTACTTTCTCCCTTGATCCTGCCAGTGAGGAGGGCCAGGCCTGTCAGCCCCGGGGCCTGGACGCAGGCCAGCCTCTTGGGTTGGGCGGACGGGCGTCAGATCCCCTGCCCCTGCGCCGCTCCGGGTTTACAGGAAATCGCAGTGTCCGCCTCGGCCTGGAGTTCTCATCGGCTCCAGGTCAGAACGGGGAGCATCAGCCTTTGGCCTCCCTCCTGCGAGTTGGCCTCTGTGAACCGTAGCTCTGAGGTCGCTCTGCTAGAGCCACAGGGTCTCGGACATGGGATTGGACGTCCTTGAAGGCGTGGCTTTCCGGATTTCATTTGCTTGAGGCTCTTGGGAAGCCGTTCCAGTTCCGAGGGCCACTGAAATAACCCAGACCCCCCAACCCTGGCGAGGGAAGGGCAAACTGCCTAAGGCTGGGAGCAGCCCACTTCCTCCTAAATGCGAGAACGTTCGCCAAGGCACGTTTTCACCAGGAGAGAGTCAGTGCACAGAGAAAGCCCCACGGAGGGAGGAGGGCTTGCGCTGGATCCTTCTGGAAGGGAGCCCGGCACCCAACCCTGTGCGTCTGTTTTAAGAGAAGGCCTCGTAGGGAAGTCACTCTGTGGCTCTGGCCGCCTGTCCCACCACCGGAGCCCGGTATTCACGGTTAACATGTCCCTGCTCATCTCTCCACGGATAGCTACCTGCCCCCAGGCCTGCCCTCCCTGTCCTGCCCGCTAGGGCCTGCCTGACACGCCGAGAACCACATCGCGGAGCTGGGGAGTTGGGGGTTACTCTAGTTAGTTCAATCCCCTTACAATGGAGACAGAAGACCCGGCTCCCAGGGGAGAAGTGACTGTCCTGACAGGTTTAACCAGAGGCCAAGAAAGCTGAGAGCAGCTGACATGCTGCCCGGGCTTTGTCTGCTGGGCCTTAGGGGGCAGCTGCTGCTGCATGATCCCCCCCACTTCCCCCCAAGGACCAGCATCAGCTGTCTGCTCCAGTGCCTCCCTCCCCTCAGCTTCTTTCTCCCGGGTTCTTCCCCAGGTGGGGGGCTAGGCCCCGGCCTCCGTGTTCCAGGCCGGGAGGCCTCCCTGAAGCCACGCCTGGGACGGCTCAGCCGGCTTGAGGGCTCTCCTGGCCGGTGGGTCCTCGGGACAGCAGGCAGGGAGGAGCAGGAACAGCCCTGCTCGGTGGTCGCTGCGAAGTGGAGAAGCTGAAGAGGTGATTTCCTTTGGCCATTTGCCTAGGATCTCAGCAGAAGTGGCGATGCAGACCTGAAGTGGGGGGCAGCCCCCCATGCCGAGAGCCTCATCCTGTTGGGGGTGCCCCTGCGGCCAAGGCTTGACACTAACGTGCTGCCCCCTCCTGCTGTCACCGCTCCGGGGCAGGGGAGGAGGAGAGGGCCTGGGGGCCGGCACTCCGAGGCACGCGGAGGGGCTTGTCCACTGTCTTCACTGGGCTTGGGCACACGGGCTTTGTAACGTTCCTTGAGTTCTTCCCACGATACTGATTCTCAGCGCTCGTGGCCGAGCCCCCAGCCTGGGGAAGCACAGCGGCCAGGCTGGTTCACAGACTCCGCGATTGTGAGGTGGGGCCCGGCACACATGGCAGCGGCCACGCTGGGCCCAGCTCCAGCGCCCTTTCCGCCCTCGATTCCGTCGGGTGGACCAGAGGAACTGTCCCATGAAAACAACCATGCGTCCTGCTTCCGCATGAGTCTCTCTCTGGGCTGGATGGTGGGGAGGCCACCTTGGGAGACAGGCTGGGGCTTCTGCTCAGCGTGATGGCCCTGTCAGGCCAGCCCGCTGGGGAGGACGGCTGGCAAGCTGGCCCCCAGGATAATATTCCATGAACATAAAAGAGAAAAATGAGGAGACCACACGAACCCTACTTCTTCAAGTCGCACCGCCCGCTTCCCTTCATGAAGGATGCTGGCAGCAGGAGAGGTGTCCCAGTAAACACACGACCTAATTCTCCCCCTGCCCCCCTCCCCCCCCAGCTTACGTTCACAGAGCTAGGCCTTTATACTACTGATTTTGAAGGACAGTTTTCAATGTCTAACAATCTGGGGGTGCAGTGGTTGGAAAAGGGGCTGAGTGCTAGAAGGAACATGAACCTCAACCAATACTGACTGTTCTCATTGTAAGATATTTTAACCCTGTATAAACGCAACTTTTCCTTTAGCTTAATGGCCTGGGGTGGATATTAAAAATATATATTAAAAATACATTAAAAATTCAGAAAAAAAAATGTATAAAAAATGAGGTCGGTTCCATAAAGTTTTACTGCCTATACCACCAAGTAACTACATTACAGCAAAATATTAATAGAAACGTTCTTGCCTTTAAAGTAAGTTATTGCACTTACATCTTTTTGGGGAGGGGAGCAACATGGAGGAGAAGGAGACCTGGGGGCCCAGGCCCCGGGGCCGCTGGAGAGCCGAGCCCTGGTCGCCCCCGAGCACCTGGCTGGGCACAGCCCAAACTGTCTGTTTGGTTGTTGTTTGCAATAAACTCCTTCTCCTTCCTCCTCTCAACTGGAACCTGTCTGTTTTGTTCCTGACTTGTGACAGATGAAATGTGATCAGAGGGGCCTCTGAAATCTCACGTTAATTGAAGTCGGCAAAAAATACTAACAGTGCCCTTTTGAACTGCTGACACAGTGCAGGGTGGATTATGAGGCCTAGATTAACAACAGGTGGCCGCCCGGGCTCCTGCGCCAGGAGGGGTGCGTGGCCTGCGAGGGTCTGGGACGGTCCCCCTTTATCCCAGGGGATCCGCCTGCGCGGCTGGGGGTGGGGAGAAGCAGGGCTACCACAGTCTACTTCTCAGGCAGCAAAAAGGGGTCCCAGCAGCAGTTGTTTGGCACCCCTGCATCGGGCTGCTCAGCACAGCCCGTGCCTGGGGTCTTCCCAGCCACATGGGCTCCCTCCAAGTCACTGAATGCCGAGCTGTGTCTCCAGGGGCTGTTCTGGAAGCAAGCTGGGGCCAGGACACGCAGGTCTGGGGCAGGAGGCCTGGTTGCTTCGCACAGAGCACAGGACAGGCCTCCAGCACAGGCAGGTCCCGGATCTGGTCTCCTACTTGGTGGCTGAGGGAACTTGCCGGAGGTCCAGCCAGATGACTTTTAAAGCAAAGCTCTAGAAACAAATGATCAAGCAGGAGGGCCCAGGCTCTGCTGCAGACAAATGCTCTCTCGCCTTCCGAATGAAGGTGACCCCAGGGAGAGGCAGTTGGCTCCAGGGAGCCATCTTCGTTCACCAAACAACCTGAAGGAGGGGAGTAAGCCCTGCCTGGGTGACCAACTAGCGGAGGATTACAGGCCATACACATGCACTCACTGGTCCACGAATGGGTAGAGATCTTCAATTTGCTGGCAGGGCTTGGGAGGGGCAGCAGTGATGGTCCGTCTCCTCACACAGGCCCAGACTCGCAGACTCAGCAGCTAAGGAACAATAGGCCCTCCACAGACAGCCCACTCCCCGACACAGGGCTGCTGCACACTGTCTGCTTTCTCAGAGTGTCTAGTGCCAGCACCAGGGACAATGAGTGTGAGAGCTGACGTTTTCCCCAGGAATTCTGATTCCAAACAGATTTTTTTTTTTTAGCTCAACACAGACCAACAG